TTTGGACGCATAAGACAGACTTCAGTCGTTTTATTGCTATAACTTCAGCAAACCTGAGAAGACTTGAGGTACTTCGTCTGTTAATTATTTTGAATGATTCCAGCAAATCTACTCGGTGTCCTGTGTCAAACAGGTGTTTACGATTGAAGAGCCTAAACAATTCAGTCCCTAAAACCGAAGGCTCTTTGGTACATGTTCGCAGAATCTGACGTTGGCCCTCCCTCCGTTCTTCCAATGTAACTGCTCCTGGAAAATAAATTTGAAATGGTATACACAGTTGGAGGTAACATGTGAGGCGTACTTTTCAATATTTGACTGCACCAGTCAAGGGGTTGTTCGGGATAAAGAGACTAATAACGCTGCAGGATATGTCCTAGACAGGACTGCGTCTAATCTTTTATTTACCATTCTCATAATATCGTCCCTCTTGTAGTCAAGTTTGATGAAAATAGGCTTCTTACTGACTGTAGCTGTATCAAGTTTCTTGAGTTCATTCTTGCCATATTTGTTGATGAAACTTTGTTGGTAACCATTTTCTTTCAAGCATTTTTCAAGAAGCATTAGTTCACTGTCTAGTTTGTTTGGTGAAAATATTCTCTTCGCTCTAGAGAAAAGCTAAAGGCATTGAAAAATAAATTGGGAAGCTATCTGTTTCGTACTAGTTTCGCGTCCTTCAGTAGTCAGCACCCACGATCCTAACGGGCATTTCAAACTACTATACCAAGCGCACTGAACATTGCTCCATATGGGGCGGAATTCAGTAACCCGTTGTATTCCAACTCAGTCACCCCATGATATAGCACTATGGTCATCAGTGCCTTCAATGAGCGTTAACCTCACCATGACAGGATGTAACCCGTTAATCGTAACGTTTTACTGAAGACGTCGATTTTGTAGCCATCACTCAAAGAGCTAGAGATCAATATATAGATTATGGGATCTCTAGGGATCTGAATTAATTTGAATTTGGATTTTAGATTTCTTCATGAACCAACATCCGTGGCTAGATGGTCAAAGAGCTTATTTTCGTAACCTGCACTTCCCTTGTCTGATTTCTGATGGGTAGGGTTGTAGATGCGAACCGCTGAAGAACCCCAAAATAGAACGAAACAGTTTATCAGTGCTTCCTCATTTCCAATGACCTCCTGAGAGTACTACTGATATGAGGATAAAACTTGGGCACTACTGTGGTGGTAGAGTATAATTTCATTATGGATAAAATTTGTATTTTCATAAAATCACACAGTGTTGTTATACACAGTAATATTTACTGATGACAACGTTTCGAGCCCAATTTATTACTACTGCTCATCGTCAAGGCATTACTCCCACACACAGTTTCTTGCTTCGTTTATATACATGCGTTTATTTTTCATCCTTTTTTTTATATTAATAACACTAATAGTGTTTCATGTCTTGTGCATCGGTGGTTAAGCGGTAGATTGATGGCCGATCATTCAAATAGCCTGGGGCTCGAGTCCCGGTCGACTCACTCAATAACCTTCCTTGGCAGGTTGTAATCGCAGGAAAGAGAGAGGGACGCTGGTCGTGAGGCTAGCCAATGCACCCTGCAAATAGCACTACTGCTAGCTACTGAAACTTCAAAGTGAAAGCTTGAAGCTCTACGGCCCACTTGGAAAGCAAAGGAAAAAATGAAACAACATTACCTGTGATACAATGTGGAATTTTCGACATGTATTAATATTATAATTCACCTTTCCATTTTCGTAAAAAGTCATACGAAGTAAGAAGTTGAAGCACTCAGGCATAACCCAACCACTCCTCTTACAGTTTGTCAACTGCTGTATTTTACCTATTCTTCTTTATTGTTCACCCTTGCTTATTGTTTTTCCTGGATTGCTTAAAAAAGACTATGTCATACTACATCGTAGAACTCGGAAGACTGTTAGTCAGTAAGGCAAGTGGTATTCCATTGGACGGCATCGTTGACAATGTCAGTGATAGGCACTTGATGTCATGCAACTAATTTGCGAAAGGAATTTTTTCAGACTGTGAGTATTGACTCTATCCATAACTCCCACCTTGTGTCTCCTCAGGTAAAACAAGAAGTCTTTTCAGAAGAATTTATGCATGTACGTCTAAGTATAAAAATTCCACTATACCATATTTGGCTGTACGTATTTTGTCTGATGAAAATAGTGTCAGGCATGAACTAACTAACAAATCTCCTTTGCACTACTAAATAAACCATTTCTTCCACCCTTACAGTACCAAACTTGATTGTTATTGTATTTCTTATATTTATAATCCTATCAATTTTTGGTTTTTGTTTATTTTTTCATAAGTGTGAACATATTTTAAGCTGTGTTAATTTTGTACTTCCCCTCACAATACTGCTATATCAACAGAGCATTAGATCCAATAATCTATAACGGGCTAAAATTTCCGAACTGAATCGACAATACTGTTTGAAACAAACTCACTGTTATTATTATTATTATTATTAATATTTAATAATCTAAATTCGTGCTTCGAATATTTTTGGCTTTATATCGTAAATGTGGAGATATTCCTCTGGTTACTTTTGTTTTAATTTTTAATTTTATCTAAATATTTTAAGTAAATCAAATGCAAGGTGTTGTGACAAATTCTGAGAATTCCATTCTGTATTATAAGTACTGTCTGTTTTGGAATAAAGTAGATTATCATTATTATTATTATTATTAAATCGTACGGATATTCCATTGATCAGCCTCAAACCAATTTGGGAAACTTCTACACTCAACACAAAGAGTAAGATTTGAATTCTGTTCAACACCAATGTCAAGTTGGTCCGGTCGTTCTATACCAGTTAGAAACTTGGCAGTCTTGTGACGAAAAGCATTTCCAACAGCCTGTTGCAGACGTTTGTCATCAGCTACCTTCGCCGGCTCCACACTGAAGATCAAATGACCAGAAAATAATAAGTAACAAAAAACTGTGGGAATAAACCAACAGGTGAGAGCCGATTGCTCAACAAATATGTAGAAGAAAATAGAGATGGATTGGTCGTGCATACAATAGGTGGGGGGGGTGGCGTTGAATGACATCGCGCGCAATGTAAGCCTTTGCTTCAGTGGAACCAATATGAGATGCGATCAGTGGGTCATCATTGCTAGGATGACATGGAAGAGATCGTTAGATGGGGAGGAGATGAGAGATTGTGGGCACCTGTGCGCTGTGATGGAGAGGATGGCAGAAAATAGAAGAAAGCGGAGATGTGTTGTTGAAGCCATGTGTTCCACTGGGAACCGAAAAGAATGATAAAAATATAATTATAATTTCTTCTACTCCTACTGGATGAGATGTAAGGGGGGGGGGGTTGTCTGTCAAGGGGATGCTAAGAGTTCGATGAGAGGAGGATATTCGTAAATTTCTTGCATAAGTTCAAGTGTCTATCGACAACATTTTTAACGAATTTGTCCAGCTGTGCCCCGGTGACAGCTTCTAGTGTTTTTTCTCAACATAACAAAGTTTTCCCGGACGATTAAGATGGCAAACAATAAACAAGAATAAGTAGGTAGGTCGAGAATTAACAAACTGTCAAAGCAGAGACTGAGTGGTGACATCAGATTGTTCTAACTTCATTCTGACAATGGTTCCTCACAAAATCTAACAATGAAATCTAGCTCTGAGGTGTTTACTTGCAGAAATTTGCTCGGTTGGAGGATTTCATCATGAGCTGCGGTCAGTTAGAGAACAGTTGGAAAATCTGCAGGGAGTACTGGACAGCGAACTGTTTCGTCAGCATCCACCACCAGGGTTCGAAGCCAGAACCTTGTGGTTACAAGATTAGCGAGCTCATAGACCATTGATCAGCCACTGAGATCCGATCCAATGGCCAGTGCATGAATTCCAACTTCTGTCAATTCATGACATAGGACAACCACTTTGCAATATCTTCTTCGATGTGTTACTGCCTCACCTTCAACCTACCGCAGATTGTATGAATTAGCAGAAGTTAGAATTGGATCAGTTCCCAGTAGCTGATGAATTGTCAACGAGGTTGCCAGCCTTGTAATCATAACGTCCTGGGTTCGAATCCCAGCAGTGGCTGCTCCCTACTATTGAACAGTGAGTGATAAAAACCAGAATGAAACAGCTAGCTAGCTGTTCAGTAAGTACTTTCTGCTTTTTCCAATACTTCTCGCAATCGAACCTGTTATTAAATTGATCCTTTTTATCTCCCCTACCATCTCAAACTATGCCATTTAATTTATGCAAAAAACAAAACATGTTAAAAATAAAATTATTCTTTTACAAATATCTATCTCGCTTATCTTGATATTTCACACACACGCCATGCTTTAGCGATTAGAATAACGAAAAAAAATCCAAGCTCTGATTGGTTGGTTATCATTAATGTACAAATGACCTAGAGTACACAACGGGCTGTCTCAAGGTCAACCAATTCGAGACCCAGCTAACCAATTATTTTCAAGTTTTCCATTATATAAATATGACCAATAGAGCTACTACATTGGACATTGAATTACACATGAATGAAATAAACATGTTTTTTGTACAACTAATTTACACATCATAATAAAACCAATAAAAATTTATAAAAATCATATTCAGTTGTTCGTTTAAATGTTAAATTCTCTGGAAAGATAAAATTCATTCTCAGAAAGGAAGGAAAATGCCTTCTACATTTGGTGGAAATGTTTTTATTTCTCTCTCTTATCACTATCATCAATGTGTACCCAGTGGAATTTTATGCTCCAGTTTGAAGTTATCATTATATTATTCTACTTATATATTTGGAATATGTGATTAGGAATTATAACAATACATACAATACAGTAATCGTAACCATATTTATTTACATCTTTTCTCCCGAGAAATAGTCATTTTCAAATTAATTTAAATTTATGTATTAGGTTGGAGAAATATATGCCTCCACCAGTGTGCCTTAATGAAATCAATATGAAGGAGTAGTGAGGATAGAATTCTTGTATGTAATTAATTACACCCTTGATTTATTGACAGTAACACACATGCCTACACGTCATAAACCAGGTGGAAATGATACACAGTGTCGTAAAACCGGTTGTTGTGGATCTTGTTGTGGCGGTTGTACAACAAAATCATCTCATACAAAGGCGAATGGAAGAAGACGAATTCGTGAAGTAAGTCTCTCAACGTTTGTTTTGCTTACTTCAGTAGAGAGACTGAAAATCATAATTTTTTGAGGTTTTTAAAATTTTTAATGTTGTTTTATGATGTTTAGGGAATTTTATAAGCGGCTGGGTTAAATTTTAGGTCATCATGTAGTCATCATCCTGTACTCACTGAAGCTGGTGCCCCAAATGTGCTGTTCTCTCTCCACTTCACTTTCCTTTCTTTCTACACGACCCACCATCTCCAAACGACATTAAGTTTGTTGAATATGCTGACGACCTAACTGTAACTTTGCCTGTCAAGTGTCAAAGTGACTGCTATAAATTAAATGCCTTTTTATCAGAAATCAGCCAATGGTCCAAGAAAAACGGTCTAACCTTAAACACCTCCAAATGTCAAGAAGTCGATTTCACCACTAGGCATAAATCTGACCTAAACAAACTGGTGGTTAGCACTCACGAGGTGTGCAACAAAGATGGCACTGAAATAGAGACCAAGTCGGAAATAAATTATATCTTGGCGTCAGTCTATCTGCTCATCTTTCCTGGTCGTCTCATATCTTGATGATTTCCAAGAAAATATTCCGTCTTACCTTCTATATAAAGAAGTTAAGACATCCTGGTATAACCCAACCCGACCCTTACTCTTACAATTCGTTAACTCTTGAATCCTGCCTATTATTCTCTATTGTTCCCCCTTAGTTTTTCCAGGGCTACTGAAGAAAGACTATATCTTTTTACGCAGGATGGTAAACGTTGTCATCAGGGTAAGCAACGTGCCACTTAACCAGCTTGTTAATATTCTGGTTGACAGGCACATGGACTCATGTGAAAAATGGGCTAAATCCATTCTACTTAAATCACACCAACCTCTTCATTCACAATTCTCCCCTTGTATCTCATCAGGTGGGATCAAAAGCCCATGTAGAAAACGATATGTTCGCATTATCAAGTAAAAAACGTAATCTTACCCTTCTTAGCTCGTGTTCTGTGCGATAAAGAAAGCATTAGGCGTGATGCTTACAACTTATTAAATAGTCAGTAGAACAACTGGATCTCGTCTTTCCAACTCATATCATTTATAGATACAACGTTTTCTTTCTTTCTTTTCCTTTTCTCTTCTTTTGTTGTTTTTATATGCTGTTTTGTTTCTCTCTTCCTTACAAACTCTACTTTAAACATTCTTCGTTCTTTCACACTGTGTATATCTCGACCATTTTTGTTACCGCTTACGCCAGTGATGAATATGCTAGTATCTACTTTTCTAACACCCTCAAACATTCTCTTCACTTTTGGCTTTACTACCGATATGCTTCCGATATGTTGTTGTCAAAACTAATTGAGATTACCCATAATGTATGTAGAACTTTATTTATTGTTAATGTACAAACTGGATGCGCAACACTGTAGTGAAATGGTGAGAATTCCATTCTGTATCACAAGTACTGTTTTGGAATAAAGCAAATTATTATGATTATTATTATTCCATGCTTCTCGCTACAGACTCATAGTGTGACACATAATCCAGCCCATCTGGGAATAATTCTCGAAGACGAAGGTAAAATATCATCAGAGGTTAGTTAGTCTACACTTCCCGTCAAACAGCACCGCATCACACACAACATAATAAAGATTATTATGTTTTTTTTAATTAAAAATCCTGAATGGAGTGAAAGTATTATGCAATAAATTATCAGACCTTTGTACAAAAATACAGCATGCTATTTGGAGCAATAGACAGATGTAGGGAAAAAAAGGAAATTTTCAAGTGTTGGTTTTGTGAGGATATTTTCTTTGATTGCACGGAGGATTTCATCATGAGCTGACTGACATCAGTTAGAGAATCACCAGAAAACCAACTGGGAGTACTGAACAGACAGCTGTTTCGTCGTAGTTTGGGACTTTTCAGGAATGGAAATGGTAAGCCGAAATTTACGGCATGAGAGATTAGACAAATGTACAAAAAACATGATGATTTAATGAATTTTTGCAGTTCACAAGCAGTCAGAGCATCGGAGACACTTTTGAGCACTTTCAAAAAAAATTTGAATTGGTTTTTTTTTATAGTACACGAAAATCCCAACCACATAGTCTAACACTTAATAGGTGACCAAAACCCAAGAATTCATAGAATAAGGACAGGTTTTAACTTACCCAACCCACCCTCCCCCTCCCGCTTAACACTTCTTCGACCTTAGTCTTTTTTCAGGTAATATTGCTTGTTGAGAAAGACGATATCTTCAAGTGCGGAACACGTGACTGATAGTATTCCCATTGAGACGAGACTCTAATCCAGTACTGATTGTGTCAAAACATCATGGCTACTGAATCACAAAATTCCTAAGTAAAATCAATAAATCAATAAATAAAGAATGGATCCTGAACAAAGAGTACTCTTTTCGATAACCCCTTCATCATCAGGCTCTACAATTATATCTATACATTATAATGAATGAATGAATTAGTGTTATGAACAACATTAATACTATTTAAATAAAAGTGAATCAATAATATTGATAGATTACAGCTCAATAGCATCAATATAAAATAAGCTAAATGTCAGAAAAGTTAGGAAAGATAATATTACACATTCATGAATTTATAGTCTCCACTGAAGGCCAGCCAGGGCAGTAGTAGGGGCTAACTGGACTTGCTTCTTTTGAACACAGAGCACTGGTTGTTTGAGGTGAATTGCAATAGCCTCTGGTGTTTGGAGCATGCGTTACCTCGATGACTTTGGCAATTTATTAGGCACCCAGTAGGTGATGATAGAGAAGGATTCTTCCACGCTAGCTGGCTTTGTGGCCGGCCGGTTTGCACCAGATGGTACAATATCGAACTGTTGATGATGGTTCTCACTACACCTTTACCTAGCCATAATGGGAGATGTTCTCGAGTGAGCAGGAAAGATCAAGTTCTCGGAGCAACGGCCAATATAACTCGCTCCACAACAAGCGCAGTTGAATTGGTAGATACAATTTGAAATGGCCAGCTAGTCCAGGTACCTCATCTTTCAGTCGAGTAGCACCATCGGTCGTGTAGAGAATAAGACGCGTAGTTCGCCAGCATTTAAGAGTTCTTTGAACTGATTTTCTTAATTTCCTCGTAATTATCTCACTTAGTCGTATATAAAGTGGCTTCTTGTTTACAGATAGTGAGTAGTCCTATTCCGCCGCTTCCTTTGTCATGTATTTCTTGATAAATTTTTCGGGATAGCTATTTTTGATCAAAGTATCATATACAATGCTTAAGTTATCTTCAATAACTTCTTCTGAGCATATAGCGTTAACTAACTCAGTGGCTGAGGGTCTTCACTAAATTTCTAAATAAAGCTAAGAAATATTTGCCCAGATACGGGAATTTGAAATACAAGTTAACTTAACTGGAAGATAAGTCTTTACACATTGTTTGTTCTTAAAGGTCTATTTCTCTACACCATACTTTCATCGTAACAAACTAGAACTCATCATATGTAATAAAATAGAAGTTCATCTTTCACACACGCACACACACGTGTACACATATTTGACAGCTGTCCTCACTAACTTGACAGACAATAGATCTAAACCTCTCTTCAAAAATATACAGTTAGTAAAAATCTGTTGTCTGTGAAATTATTATTTTCTGTGTGTTGAAGTTTCTCTAGCTTTTCGATGAGTTTTGATGGTGTAAGGTTGCTAGTCCTACGCCCAACCATCTCTCTCTCTTTACGCGGACTTGGGACCGGATAGAAAACTAGCAAGCTAGTTAACTAGGCGAGTTTTGTGTTAATTAAGTGTCAAACAGAAAATTACATCGAAATGCCAGTACTGTGTCTTCTCGTAAACTTTGAGTTAGTTAGTTTTTGTTAACATTTATGGAATGGTTGTCCGACACACAGGCGTAGGTGTTCGATTCCTGGTCGAGCAGTCTTGAACCTTGCCTATTGTAAGGGGTCTTAATAGAGAGCTCGGTAACGGAACAAATATTAGAATAAAAACACCGGTTCATGACAGAACATTGTAACAGTATATTATGTTAAAAAAATGCTGTTAACGAGTTTTCGAAATTAATCGGCTAATTAATTGGCTACAAATTATTATTATAATCCACAGAAGCGTTGACTGCTGGAGTCATTTCTACTGGTGGTAGAAGCTGGTTGTAGGATAGTCTTAAGATGAGGATGAAAGGTTCCTAAAAGTAGACTGTATGGACCAGTGAGAATACAAAGCGTCACACACAAAGCAGCACACAGTATTTTTGATTGTACTACGAAGTTATGTATATTTTACAATGAATCGTTTTAAACAAAGTTTGTGTACAATTTATTTCCATTTTTAACGCCTACCAAAATGCTGTACAGTCATATTGTTTCACAGACTATAAACATTCTGTATAGCTAAACACTTAATTGATATGAATCTGAAGATTGATATCACAGCATCTTTCAAGATGATTTGATAAAAACTGTCAAAGGATAACTCCATTATGGATAAGATTTTATTTTGATAAATCACACAGTAGTGTTATACAGTAATATTAACTGATAACCACGCCTCGAGCACAATTTATTATTGCTCATAATCATATGAAGTCACTACTCACACAAAGTTTTCCTTCATTTATATACATGTGTGGAACTGACTAGATATTTAAATAAAAATCAGTATGGGATAATGTACATTCAGAAATAATAATATGAGTGTTATTGATCAACTACAATCAGATGGGAAATGAGACGAGTGTTTTTATAGTCATAATAAGTGAGTAACTTGTTAGAATGTTGTGATGTGCTTGAATTGAAATTGAATTTTGAGATTATTTACTATCCTCTTCTGATATGACTGACTGACTGATTGGTGGTAATAATATCTTCCATACACATCTCTGGTTTTGCATTGAGTCATTTCTTCGAAAAATTCTCTCTTAGTCCGAGCTACGTATCAATTTATACAGCCGACAAACTATCAATGGATGTGTAAAGGATAAACTGCCGCTTTGAGTCACCTTAATATGTGTTTATAAGTTCG